AACCTGCGCAAGAGGAATTAAAATTAACATTATCATTAAGAAGATAAAAGTTGGCCATCTCTTAATGTTAACTTAATTTTAAAGTTAATGTTAATGTGTTGCATAAAAGCTTCCAATGGATTACGTTCATTTAACTTGTTAATGATAATGTAAATTTTAATGTTAATGTTAACTTGATGTTAATTTGTGCTTCATAAATCCAGCAATATTGTGGTTCATTGTAACTTACAAAGTATTTAACGTTTTTTAAAAATATGAAAGTAATTTTTTTCACATATTTTTGAAAATATTGTAAGAATGACTTATCTTACCAAAAAAAGTTAAGGAAAAAAGTTGTAGAAAATTTAATTCCCTACAAAAAAAGACAAATTAATCTCAAGAAAACACAAATTTTTTCAAATTGTTAAATATTAATCTGCTTATATCATTCCTTTATTATTTTTCAGTAAGACAAGCCATTCTCTAAATATTTTCAAAAATATGTGAAAAAAAGTAAAAAAAAATACTTTCACAGCTGAAAAGCGTTAAAAACTTTGTAAGAAACACTTGGCAAAGATATAGAAATTTAAATAAAAAGTGAAAAGTAAAATACATGTTTTTTAAATGGGAAAAATTCAAAATGAAATAGTTATTTGTTTTACAAGTGTTTTCATGCGAGTGTTAAAGTTGCTTACGAGGCCGTCAGGCCGAGTGTGCATTAACACGAGCTTGAAAAAAGCTTTTCTGACAAGTGAAACACAATATTTTTTCTACGACCCTTTTATTTTTTATTATATTTAAATACAAAACAAAATAACCTCAAAACGTGTTTGACAGCTGTTAAAATTACTTTTATCTTATTCTTTTAATTTTTAAGGTATAAGTTACTTAAAATCAATAAACTTACCTTATCAATTTAAGTAAAGGCACTAAAAATTAGAATTTATTATACAACACACATAAAATTGTGTTCTAAATGATATTTAGACATACATAATCAAATACAATATAAATTTTGAAACGAATGTCAAACGATGCTGTCAATTTCTTTTCACACAGACCTGTCACTTTTCACACAGAAATGTCACTTTACATTCGTGTTTTGCCTTGCCAATGAAAAGATTCATTTTCTAAGCAACGATGCTATTACGAAATGTGACTTTTACATAGTGGTCGTAGAAAAAAGGACTTACTTAAAATCAAAATTAGGGGCTTAAACTTTAAGGATTTTTTTTTAGATGTTTTGAACAATTTTTTGGAGTTTCGATGAAAAACAAAACTAGTCGTTTTAAATGAAACACCCTTATATATACACTGCTTGTGAAGTTAGAGCTGCTCTTAGAGCCCAAAAAAATCAGTTCATGTACTTTTTTTGCATCTTAGACTTCTTTTTTTACCGTTTGTATCGCCTCGATTCAGAACGTCGTTTCAAAACATCAATATGTCATATTTTAAGATTATTATGTATTTGATCTTCGCATCTTATTTTTGGCCTCCCTCTCGATCTATCCTCCATAAGTCTCCATTCTGCTTTTTCTTACTACTTTGTCTTCGTTTTTTTTGTCCAAACCATCTTAGTCTCTGAGCCTACCCTCCATATACCTACACAAATGATTTACCAAAAAAAAATGTTGTTCTGTTTTGTTGTTTGGTTTGCACCAAAACAGCAGACGTCATGACAAAATAGAAATTAGTGCCGCTGGTGCTAAACAAAACACGTAAAATGTGTTTATAATCTTGCCTTGATTACCTTAACTGTATTTACGTTGTTCATTTTTATCCATTTTATGATTCATAAATGTTTTTATTGGTTTATCGTCAGTCCTCTTTGAAAAGGAAACCCTTTTACAACTTTACTGTAAAATTTAAATTGTAGATAAAGAAATTTAAAAAAACTTCATAAATTGTCATAAATGAATCTGATAAATTCTTATTGGTGGACTATTCAATAGACCATTTTAGCCACATGACATCTGATAAGATATAACCGTTTCCTTGACAAAAAAAAGCCATAATACCATGATTTTTAATGTCCTTTATACAGCAGATGCGCATAAATTCTGTATGTCATATCAATAAACATTGCTATGGGAGCTATAAGTGGCTATGTACCATCTGACAAAATTTACAACTTAGTAATGAAAATAATAATTAATTAGTTTGGTATATGTGGAGGACGAAGCAATTATTCCGCTATTTAATGTAGCGTGGAGATATCGGATGTTAGTTATTTAAGCTGAGCTTAACTAATTAAATAATTTTCTTATTAGTTGGAAATCGATATGGCTATAAATCAGTACTTTTAGTTTTCTGGGTCAATAGTTCTAATATGGTGTGGTAGTAATTTAAATATATTTTGGATATCTTAGAATCAATCGTGAAAATTATTCGTTTGGTTATAGGTATTTGTAAAATCGTGTTGTATTTTAATTAAATGTAGAAGAACCTATAATTTGGGATATTAATTTTTATGTCATGTAATTTTCTTGTATGTGCCAGACATGAGTTTTGTGGCCTTTGTACCTTTACAATACGGTAGATACAAGTACATAAAACATTGTTGCACAAAAATACAGCATACAGCATTTTGCCACATTGTTTTTTGATTTTATCTATGGAAAGTCATTGCAAATATTATTACGTCCTAAACCTATCTTGCATAAGTTCCAAATAAAGATATCAACCCAGGAAAAACAGATCACACAGATAACTTAAGTTTAGTAATTAGTAATCTTTCTATATATATATATATATATATATATATAACGGGTCACTGCATACTCAACAAACACCTTTATACTTTAGAAAAGCTGACTGTCCTCTCTGTAGAGTCTGTAACTGGCGAGGATAAAACGTAATGCATATTAGTTATGATTCCCTTGCTCTTCTCTGGTTTAAAAAGTCAAATTTAGAAAAATAATATTAGATTCACATCTTCCTAAAATTCTTTTAGAAGCTTAAGATGAGCAAAACTAATCAGAGGTGAAAGTAGGTTAAAATCGTCTTCCTAGATTTGTGGACATTGTTAGCTGTGAAGCCTGTTAAAAAAATGAGATGCAAAAGTGATGATAAAAAACATGATGTACTGTAGCCGTTAGTAATGTCATGGTGGGTAATATGATCGGTTATGGTGTATTTTGCGCAATGCATTTTCCATTATTTCCATCGCCTGAGTAATGATAATTTCCAAGCACTAGCAGCAGGTACAAATCGCGCATACATTTAAACCTTAAAAAGCCTATTTTGTAATCTGAAAATTTGCATCGCTTACCGGGCAATTTATGACGGTATTAGCAGTCTTTAGCGGGATTTTTTTAACTAGATGCTAATGTTTTCCGATTTTTCATCGCCTCGCCATGCAGACGCTTCCCAAGATGGTGAAAACCGGTGTTATGTTATCCGAGGAGCAGCAATAAATGTTGGCTAATAGAGACTGGATTTCCCAGTTTCTATACGCACTACTATTGCATTCTGATCCACCGCGTTTACTAATCTCTTCTATGTTTCTAAATTTTTCTATCGAATTTATATAATATCCTTAAGCTTACTTGATGACAAGCTGAAATAATGACCACAAGTTAAAATGACAATGATGGCAATTGATCAAACCTAGCTTGGACTAAACGTTCTGATTCAGCGGTAGAAAACCCGACTGCGGCTCATTTGAGAAGAAAAACCATCACAATAAAACTCTTCCCAGCATCCTGTAACAACTACCGACGGCTGCACGTGTAATCTTGCGAAAAAAGATGGCATTTCCTTTCAGCACACACAGAGGCAATTAATTGATTAAAACAGTTACTGCGGACTTCGTTTTGTATCGGGTTCAAACGCTTCGTGTTGGCCCTCGGTGTTGCATGTGAGATGGAAATTATCTTGAAACGCAGTTTCCTTGCTTCAGGAATCCCTTCCTGAATGCCATTTTTCCAACGTTGCGCCTTGTGCAAGTGAAGATTATTATGTTCACGTGGTAATTTCAGAGAAGGAGGTGGCCCTGGTCAATTAAAAAGCGGCGAGTAGTTCAGAGAGGTGCGAAATTGGAAGACATGGGAAGCAATTATTTCTGGGTTTACGACAAGCCTTATATAATATCCATCATTAAATTTGACCATTTGGTTCCTTTGTTGGTGGTAATACTTTAATTAATCCTATTAGCAGTTAATTACTGAAAGATTCTTCACATATTTAATAGGATATAAATGATCAATATGATTAAATAAGTTGCAACGAACAAAAGTTGAAAATGTTAAAAAACAGAAATAAACAACGATACGCTAGAATAAAGACAACCTTTAGTTAAAAACCAATTGTAAATAAACATTAAAGCTATCTGACAGAAATAGAGTATGCACAGGGATTTTACAGATTTAATTATCTGTCTGTAAACTTGGAACCATGGACACATACGCTTTAATTGTTCAATTAAGGAAATTCCAAAGACATAGACATATCGCCAAACAATTTTTAGCATTCCTTCAGTCCTTGAACACATCCTGGCATTGTATTCATAAATTGTTTTCATCTTTTTTTTCATACAAATACCTGCCAGACAGCAAAAAGTACTTAAGTTTTATTGGTAAACATATAATTTTAAGTTGCTTTGTGGCTTAACAGGATTCTTCTTTAATGTTTGAAAATGTCTTTAAACGCATTATTCTGTGAAATTTTACGTCTGAAATCGACAAGGTAATACGAGGGCATATTGATAAGTCCTTAGATAGCGCCACAATCATAAATCATAAATTGTGGGCACAATTACTGTTAGGATTTCAGATAAATCTGTTTTTATTTTAAAAGCCTTAGTAAAGAGCAACTTTTAAATTTATCAAAAAATGGTTAAAAGTGAATTTCTTCATAATGCTGAACTTTCTAAAAATTACAAGTCGCCAAAATCCTATTTGAAGATCAAAGGGTGAATATGTAAGATTGCTAAGACGTAGGCATCTCAACGGGATCATCTATTACGATTTTTTATGAGCAATAACATTTAAAACTGTCCTCATTTGGAAAAAACAAAAACCATGTTTCACCAAGACAATTCCCAAGCTAACAAAACCGCTATAACCATTGAAAAAATCAAGGAAGTAGTCTGGAAATTGCTACTGCATCCTCCGTATTTTCCAAATTTAGCCCCCTGTGACTTTTCTTTTTCCGGAACTGAAAAATCGTTGGCTGGAAAGAGATATACCCCAAACGCTGTATATGAATTTTTGGACTAGAAAGAGCAATATTCTAAATAACTGAAGAAGTATCTTTGTAGTAAATGTATCGAGATAAAGCATATCATAATACTACAACTTGAGTAAAATATTATTTCTTAAGAAGGTTAAGGTGTCTAACCACCATATGTATTTGAAGTATTCGAAAACCGTGTCTATACAAAAATGTAGAGAACATTTGGAATGACCCCCCCAAGTAGCACCGCTACAAACATTTCTCTCCAAACATCTCGACTCGTTTAATTCCGTTCTGTAATTGATTACATCGCGATCGCGTATTGAAATCTCGCCAGAGTCGGCATACTGGTTTGCGGAGGATAAATGTGGCGCTCGGTCCGCCCACGTTGGAGAAACGAAACATTAGAAACCAATAAACGGCCGCTTTACGAAAAATTCTTGCTCCTACGAGTGACATTGCGCCAACCAAGACCATCTTGTTTTTCGCTACAGATAACAAGGAATCTAAGCTCGCAATCTTGGCCACGAATCGTGCGCATGAATCATTCAAAGGCATTCAATGGCGTTTACCAACAGTAACCTTTGTTTACATTCGAAGTTTATGGATGGAAGCTCCAAACAGCCCTTTTGTACCATCAAGCTTTCTTATACCATACGATGCGACAAGATTTGATAACAAACAACGAAGAAAACCAATTTTTAAACTTGCGATCATTAGCACACAGCTAACTTTCAATCAAAATTAACCAGCTAGAAACATAGTGCCTCGTTAGTATAATGACTTCGTATTGTTGTTTTAATTACACTAGTATTAGTCGATTTATACAAGGAAGTGAATCTTGTCAACGAAAACGAATGTTAAGCGAGAGATGAGCAATCGAGATTTTTTATTTCAAGACTTATTAGCAACATACCAACATCCTAAAACAGTAAATATTGCGCGTTTCCTTTGGAATGGTTAGTTTTAGAACGAAAACAAAAACAATGAGGGAAGTAGTATAAAAGGAAGTTATTAAATTTAAGTTTTATGATAAATTATTCCAATGATTTCATGGCTCGTTGCCGCTTAAATCATTGAAATTAATTATCAACAAAAAAATCAAGATTTTTAAACCATTATTTCGATTTAATTACATGTCATCTTCCATAGTAGCCAAATCAATATTTAGAATGATAAAAAACACAAAATAACCTTCGTATGGTTTAATAATAGACATTAATCTTAAAAGGACGTTCACAGACAATATTGTTTAATAGAATTTTATGATCACATATTGATGAAAACCACGCAATTATTAAGCTATTAAGGCTTTCATTAATATATAATTTTTGTCGGCATTAAGTCATAAACGCCGAAGATGTATATTTTGATAAACTTTTAAACATTTGTTGATTTTATTTTAGAATTTGAGAAACCGTTAGGCTTCTATCATATTTAAATTTTATGAAACTGGTTATCGGAAATTCTATAGGAAATCAAAATTTGCATAAATATGTTTTAAGCAATACATTGTGCTTAGTATGTTAATTCTTATATTAGATTTTTTTTGTGATTATTTTTTTGGCGTATAACAATGTTCATACTCGTATTATAACGCTCATGACTTCATGTTTTTACGCAGTTCAAAAGTCACGTTTTTAAACACCGACGTGACTGGAGGGTAGGCCACAGTTGACTCTTTGTAAAAGGTTTTTCATTAAGAGTGATAGATCTTTGATCAACGCTGGCGTTGTTATTTCAAAAGATCCTGGTATCATTTTTGACGTACATATTCTACAAAGCTTGTCATTTTATAATGGAGATATACAGAATCCAGATAATTCAAATTTTCATGTCAGTCCGTCCTTAGTTTTGCAAAGCTTGCGCAGACTTGGGATAACTCCCCTATAAGATCCACTTGACCCAAGAGCTCAAACCAAACGATCATAATTTGCGTAGACATTTTGCTAATTGGGCTAATAGAGCATTTGGACGCAGACCCTGAACTCTGCCAGAAAATCATTTTTAGCGATGAGGCTCATTTTTGGTTGAACGGATTCTTTAAGCAGAACTGTAGGATTTGGAGTAAAGCAAACCCACAAGAGGTCAACTGCATCCAGAAAAGACTGCTGTCTGGTGTGAATTTTGGTCTGGTGGTGTCAGTGGTCCTTATTTCTTCGAAGATGAGCAAGGCAGAGCGCTGACGATGATACGAGATTCCTTTTGGCCTCGATTGGAGGAAATGGATTTGGAAAACATGGCGCCATTTACCATACACTGGACTTGATAGCAGAAATATTTTCTGGGTCTGTTATTTCACGTAATGGCGATATCAATTGGCCAGCGAGATCTTGTGATCTTACTCCGTTGGAATTCTTTCTATGGGGGTATGTGAAGAGTCTGGTATATGCAAATAAACCTCAAACTATTGAAGCACTCAGAGACAATATCAGACACGTCATTGGTGAAGTAGGTACAACCCGATCTCTGCCAGAATGTAATTCAAAATTGGGCTTCTCCAATGGACGCAACCCATCGAAGTCACGGAGGCCACTTGCCAGATGTGTTTTTCATACATAATGTCATAATATGGTCTTTAATCTAAAAGTAAAACAAAGTTTAATTTCACTTCAAAGAAGTGGCATTCGCAAAAAATGTATATCACACTTTCTTCCCCACAGCTTTACAAAGAGGACTGTCTACTTTTTTCAGTGTCCCGTTATGATTCCGACAAGGTCAGAAAGGTTTTGACGAGATAAAAGTAGACTCTATTTCGACAGTTTGTCAGATTGATTAGTCGTCAATTTAGCTAGTAGTTTAAAACTTGTGGACCTTATTGCTTTTTATCATTTTAGTTTTTATCATTTTAGTTACTCGTCATTTTAATTTGTCATTACTTTGGCTTGTTAAATCTAGAGCGTGTATCCGAGGTACCAACTCTGCAGACAGATAATTAAATCGGTTAAAAATCCCCGTACATACTCTATTTCTGTGGTGCATGTAATCGCAGATCGCTCCAATATTTATTTGCAATTTGTTTTTCATTTAAAATGTGCGCACATTTAAACGTTGCCACGTTATCAACCGGCAGCGATCTGCCGTCTTAAAATCAATGTCTGTTAGTAAATTAGATTGTATCTGTCTGTTGCACTAGGGGCTCGCAAGAAGAAAAAACCCACCAGCAACTGATAACTTTGATTTTGAATAAGTAATAGAAAAAAATACGCTAATGGTATTTATAGTGCATCCATTCTGTATGGTAATTTAGAAGAGTCAACGGTGGAATTTTTCAATGGGGTAATCTACATTTTTAGTGCATTATTCTTGAAATAAACTCAGATAAAATGCACATAAATTATTAATTCCATGGATCTTTGTTTATTATATTTTATCTACACACATGCTTACCTCCATATATCAATACCTACATCATATAAATAGAATATAATAGAACCGATTAATAACTTTTTAGTTTGTAGGAAACATTCTTCTAAATTAACTTCACTTTGTATTTGTTGCATTGACATTTTAAACATGTTTCTTCTTTTTCACTTTCGTGATGTTGTTGCTAAGAAATCCAATTAATTTGCATCAGTTTACTCTATAATTTTACTTTTTGTTGAACATTTCCTATGAATGTTTTCCTCAATTAGAGCTACAAAACCTGTGTGATATATTTCAGAGTTGAGATGTTATTAGTTCAGCACATCACGGTACAAACGGCCAAGCGTACGAATATTGCGTATTTCATGCAAATTAACGTTTATGTTGTAAGTCACTTGTACGATTACACGATATACCTATTTTTAAAACCTGTTTTTATTTAACTTATCGCCATTACCAGTTGGTAATTAATGTCTAGGGAGATTCTAAATTGATACTATTTATTTATACATCTACCTAACTTATCTGGATAGATCTTACGAAACAGAAAAAACAAGGGGGAAAAGTCGTTTTTGATAAATTGGCTGCATTAAAATGTTATCAATTTAAAAACCGACACATAATTATATTAAACGAGGATTAACAAGTTTCAATTATCAGCTGAATCAGGCAAAGAGCGCAACAAAAGAGACCATTTATATGCATTTAATTCGAATTTATGGTTGAGATCAAAAAATACGTGCTGTAAAATAAAACAATGCCATTTTTTAGATTAAAAAAAAAATTAAGTGTGATGGTCAAAAGTCCAAAAAGTCAACTTTATATGATCAAAAAAAAATAATACACCAATGTAAAGAAAAACCCTTTATTTCTAAAATTCCGAAGGAAAATGTTAAAAAACATTTTATTTAAAAAAGATATAGCTGTTTAAAGTAAAGCAATACGAAAAAAATCAGATTTAGATTTAAACGGAATTTTCTCTGCCTTTAAGGGGCTGTTACTTCTTATACATAACAAAATTATAAAAAATATGCTTTAAATTAAATATGTAGGTAATAGGATATTGTATGTTTTGTAAAATTATTAAACCGCTCTTATAATCTTGTCTATGATAATATCATATATTATATGATAATATTATATATTATAATATAATATTATGATCTATTGTTAATTTGTAAATATTACATATAAATTTTGTTATGAAATGTTTCTTTGTTATAAATAAATTATTAGTTTTTTAAAACAAATCATGTAGCTATTTGTAATCCTTTACATTTTACTACCTCTAGGTAAAAATAGTTTACAGTAATAAAAACCTAATGATAATCCTTTATGGTAATGTACCTTTTTTGTATATATTAGGGTGATTCAAAAAATTTACAATTTTTTTTTACTTATGATATCGAAAAATTGGTTGCTGGGCAACTCAAAAGAAGCCTATCTTCGTATAAGCTCTTATTATTAAGAGTAAGATCATCATCATTGCAATTTTCCATTTTAACATTAGTCGGATGAAAAACATTTTTATCTCACTAACAAAGCAATATAAAGCTAAGCCCAATAAACATTTTGATAGAAAGTCGAATGCTCTATAATAAGGTATCCCATGATTTTTTCGTAAACCAAGATATTTAAAAGATATCTTGGGACAAACTTTTATAGATTTTGAAGAAAAAAATATTTTTTTTCCCAGAATGGTGCATTTTAAAATAAGTAGTATACATTTTTGTTGGAAATTAACTAATCTACAAAAGGGGTTTCTTTAGTTTTTTTGATAAGCGTTTTAAATATAATCGCAACTAATGTTTAACTTATACTGTGCCTTTTTTTAATAACTAGGTACCGTAAAAAATATTAATTTTACTTCGATTTTTTAAATATTTTTATGTATTTTGCGTTCATAATGACTTTATTATAACACTGCTTTCGGTGCTGTAATGAGATACTTTATCCCACCCAAAATTTTGATTTTATAGGTTGGCTATACTTTAAACAGCATAATATTTTGCAAATTGTTTATAATATTTTTATGATTTTTTTAGTACTTACGAGACTTTTCTGGCAATAAATTTTGTTTAACACCAAAGAAAATCCTTTTTTACTTCTTTAACATTAACATTATTGTAAATAAGTAAATTAAGGACGGCATGACGAATCGATTTTGACAATAACTGTCAAACCAATGACTGTAATACCAACTATCTAAAGTAAAATTCGACCAAATTAAATTTAAGGTATAAAATTAATTTTTTTTATAGAATTTTTGCAAAATAGATAAAATAGCAAAATATACTATTATAAATGTGTGTTCTTTCTTATTAATTAAAATAAGCTATTAACTATTTTTCAATTTGTTCTGAAATTTCAAAAAAAATTTTTTTTAATAAATTCCGGTATCCAAGCCTCTTGGATGACACATTTAAAACATTAATTTGTCATATAACTAATTACATTATAACATTTATACCAATTAATTATTTAGGGGAAAGTTTAAAAAACCCTTGTCATATTAAGAGCTTGGTACCCTAACCACTAAACCATACGAGATATACTTTATATTAAACGTTTACATTTACTTTTTTGTAGATCAGTTAATTTTCAACAAAAATGGGAAGTAATTATTTCAAAATCCTAACTATTCTGTGAGTTATACAATTTTGAAAAGAAAGTTATTTTGTTCTAAAGTTTTCAAACTTTGACCTAAGATATCTTTCGAAAAAAACATTAAATACTTTTTTGTAGACAACAAGGCTTTAGATCAATTATTAAAGTCACAAATTAGTTTTTACCAGAAAAGTAGCATTTGAACCCACCGTGCCACTCCTATATATCTATACATCAGCTAAATCTTCGCATAACTAATTAACTTTACTGAGCCAAGATCTTCTTTGGGAAAAAAAAATTATTTTACTTTGATACTTTTGCTGATTAACAATAGACGTATAATTTGAGGCAGTATGTTAACTTTAAACCAGTTAAAAATTGCAAATTTTATGCTTTGGTAAATTTGCAGATGCGAGATAAGATAATAAATAATACTATTTAATAAAGAAAACATGCTCGTCCGTAGCACAAAATCCTGCCATCTCCTGGTACCCACGTTTGCTCGGTCGTGATTTACTTCATTCAATTCATTTTCTTGCCATTATTTTCCCACGAACGTAAAAAAATACGCGATTCTATTGACTCGCGACTGATGCTAGCCAGTCGCATGGTTTTAGACAATATACCTGCACATAAAAATCTCCGTTTTGTTCGTCATGAAATATGTATTCTATTTATTACCGAACATTGTGTTTGTGTTGCTACACATAACTCGGCGTATTTATTGGCGATTAAAAAGCAGCAGCTCTATTTATAAATATCGCGTTCGCATTTGCATCAAGAACTCTGGAAGCAAGTTCAATGTCAACGATGCGGAGCACGGTAGTCAATGAAGCGTTCATTATGGAAGATTATTTATTAACTTTGAGAACATTAGTCATATCCTTCTTGATGTTGCTCGATTAATAACCATACTCAAAGTAACATGGAAAAAATGTTACTTTTCCAATACCTAATGGTTTTAGCATGGGGAATTTAATTGAAAGTCGCACCACGCCTTACTAGGTAAAGAAGATGCGTACAGATAGTTTTGTGCAAGAGAAACAATAATTTTTCATTAAAACATGTTTGTTTACATCGGATCGGAACGGCTCCTTATTACCTTGCCTGAAACTATTTCACGTTTTGCATTCGTGCGGGTTTTTTTCTAATTTACTGTTTATCTAACCGAAGAAAGCTTTTTCTTTTGTTTAGCATATTTTTCTTTCGTTGCGACCTTTAACTTGAATTTCAATAGCCACGTTTTCCTCGGCATATCGCGATGTTTTTAATACTGTAAACCGTGGAAAATTATCGTGTGCTCACAATCTAAAGCATGCTGATTGAAATTGCTTCATTTGTAGCGCGATGGTGTTGTGGAAGGAAAAATAAAAGTCACAAAGCTTTTAGCAGACAAAACGTGGTTTACAAAGTTGTACTTTACTAAAGATGTTTTTTTTTTCTTTCAGATGATTGTCGAAAGGATGATGGTACAGAATGTCAAAATGGTGCCTGCCTAGACAATCAATGTCACTGTAATGACGGATACGGTGGCTGTAGTTGTGAAGTTCCAGGTAAGTTTTGCACTTTTTATTGTCAAATTTTGACTTTAAACATATACCTACAGTTTGTCCCCCACGGCATGAATTGTCTGCAGTCTCGGCCTGCTTGACTTAAAATAGAGTTTCACCAAATTAAGTTTTAAGACGCTAAATTATCTAAGAAGAAAATATATTTTTGGAGGTAAAGTGGTATTTTCGTTGATTTACGGAAAAATTCTATTTGGATAAAATATTTTACATTAGAGCCATTTCCATACTTTAGTTGCATTAGAACAAAACAAAAAGTAATACTACAAATTAAAGTATATAGCTTTTTATTCTTTCGAGCAGAATATTGCGGAGAAAGGGGTAAAAAGTTGCTTTTATTCTTAATGCATAATTAGCGATACAAAACTTGCAAAAACAATTACATTTGATTTAAAAATAGCCAATATACTATAATTATTTTTTATTTTAATACAAAAAGCACTATATATATGTAGGTATACATATATACATATATATTGTAACACAAAAACGTGAATTAAAAAAAAACGTAAAAATAGGATTTAAACGCGACAACATGCGATTTGTTCACAATGGCAGTGACAGTTCTATATGCAGTGATATTTAAAATCCAAAAATGAGTTGTGAAAACGAATTATATACAATATTTTAAAAAAAATATGGGAAAAACAAAATAAAGCAACAGAAAATATGCAATATGTTGAATGCAGCGAAAGTCTAAAGAGAAGAGCAGAAAACAACACCCGAAACTGATGAGACCCAATATAGGTCGAAACAACTGTCTGTCGGTATTTGAAGTTGGTGAATCGCACTCAAAACAAAAACTTTGGCAAAGTAAAGGTTCAATTTTTTCTTAATATATTATTTATTTGGTGACTACCATAATTTCGGTTTTGAAGTGAATTATTTAAAAAAGATAATTGTATACAATTAAATTTTTTTTAATAATTCACTTCAAAAACTAAATTATGGTAGTCACCAAATAAATCAAACCAAATATCCCTTGATAATCATGTGTTTGTAATCCAGTGTTGCCGGATCTTCTAGACGAGAATGACAGATTGATAATATTCGTTGGACACCGTAACATTATGGTTTATTATTGCAAAACTGTGCTGTGAAAGTTAATAAAAATGTATAAAGCACTTTTACAGGGATAAGTGCTTACGATGGGATGTTTATAGGAGATTTATTTAATTAATGCATATCTTATAACATGTGTTAAAGATTTGATATTATTTGTTGATGTAAACTGTAAAATCAATCAAAATGGTAAGCAAAAATAATTCATTGTATAATGTTATGGGTTGGGGCAAATTAGCTACAAACAAAAGCCTGGTTGGACCATTCGAACAAAAATTACCAGAGTTACAATAGGTGACGTTGCCGTTGAAAGTAAGGACAGGAACCGTTGAAAATCGAAAGAAAGAGAAAAAAAAGATTGGTCGAAGACCAGGCAGGAACAGTATTGGCTTTGGGCGACGTTAGAGCAAAGACATTTGCAAAGAATATTTTTAGATTGAGAGATAAACAACAATGCTTTGGAAAGATTAAAAAATAAAATTTCTGATGTGATCAGAGCCATAACTTTTGAAAAAATTAGAAAAACGGTTCAATGCAAAATATTTTATTAAAATCAACGGAAAGACCACTACAACGATTTATTTTCTTCTTAGATTAACTTAGCTTTAGTTTAAAAACTGTAATTTGCTGAAAATTAATTTTAAGTAGAGCAGAATATAGTACTCTCTTAAAACGAATTAGTCAAAAATAACTGGTTATAAGTCATATTTGACTAATTGCCATAGCGAAAAAGCAGTCACTGATAATTAGTCAAATTCTACTGAATGCAACAGTCAAATTAGTAGATTTAAATTAAAAAAAGTATTGACCAAGCCAGGGTTTGAACTCGGGTCTGTCTCTTTTTAAGCGGATGTCAAACTGGTGCTCTACTGTCACTTTTACAAAAATTATTTTGGAGCTTAACTTATTGGCCGCAAAATTAAAAACAATTACAGAAATTAGTTACTCTTTACTCTCAGAAACAGTCGAAGATAGTGACTTATCTAAATTAGTTAAACTTTAACTACTTAAGTAGTAAAAAATAACTATTTAAAAGTGAAAAGTAAACAATGCTGGTACTTATTCAAATAGTTGAATTTTGACTATTTCATTTTAAGAGAGTATATATACTCTTCAAAACAATTTGAAGATAAAAGTCTAGAAGAGTTAAATCGCATGTTCTAGGCGGCCAATCTTGGTTATCCTGTTAGGGAAAGTCTTCTGGAATTTTCTTAAACGAATACAAAGTTGGCATCTATTTATTTTATTATTAATGGCGCGTTGAGCACTCCATTTGCGATTAATTCCTGTCAACTTTGTAAATTATATTGCAAATTCTTGCTGTCAGTGCCGATGTTTTGTTACAATGAACCATTGTTTAACGAATAACCAATGAAAGGATAAATTCCTAACTATTACAATAATTAATAGATGTACAGTTTGCTAAAAAAAAGATAAAATCTCCAAGGAATGTCGAAAAGAAAATTAACACTATAATTAATAAATACAATGTTTGTTTTAGTAACGGAATACAATTTAATTACGCGATCATGAGGATATTGAAAAACAAATGAAGAAGCGAAATATTTAAGCGTAAAATTACTAAACTTTTTACTACTTACTTTGCAAGATATTTAATTACTGCGAAGCTTAATTATTTTGAGTCACATTCATTAATTCAACTTTAGATAGGTTATGACTTAAACCAGCTTGTTTCGTAACAAGTATAATTAGCTATCCTCATTACATATAGAAGTTCACATTTCAATAACATACTGAGCATATTTTGTTATATAAATCCCATCATTGTTAAAAAACACTATACGAGGTGTGTTCAGAAAATAACGAGAATTGTTAAATTTCGCAGGTTCGGAGGGTCCGGTTGTCATAAAATTTTCTTTAATATGTTGGTATTCATGCCCCCGAAGTATGATAAAAACTTTAGCTGTTTTCATTGCTTACTTTGTCTGTGGCAGCCGCTAAGGTTGTTTTATAAGAAATGGATCAAAGAGAATTTGTATTCAATTTTGCTTAAAAAATGAAATAAATTCTGTGAAATGTTAACAAAGGCCTATAGTGAGTCTGCTATAAGTAAAACAAGAGTTTACAAGTGGTATAAGAGTTTCCAAGATGGCCGTGAAGACGTTGAAGATGACGAACGCCCTGAACGCACAAGCACATTAACAACCGATAAAAACATGGAAAAAGTGGAAGAAATGGTTATAAACCATCAGAGAAGTCGCTGATGATGTTGGTATATCGATTGGCTCATCCCATGAAATTTTTTCGAATGTTTTTGGTATGAAACGCGTGGCAGCAAAATTTGTTCTAAAATTGTTAAATTTTGAACAACATTTTTGGCCAAAAACAATACTGTAATGATGCCCCACCCTCCATATTCGCCAGACATGCCTCTGTCTGACTTTTTCCTATTCCAAAAAATAAAGAGAACCTTAGGGCCGTCGTTTTGCAAGCATAGATGACATTAAAAGCGCATCGCTGAACTAAAGAACTAAAGGCTATCCCAAAGATCAAGTTTTAAAAGTGTTTCGAGTATTGGAAGAAGAGCTGGCACATGTGCATAATATCCAATGGGGAATATTTTTATTGTAGACGAATAAATAAATATTTGTTTCAAAAAACGAAAATTCCCGATATTTTCTGAACACACCTCGTAAACATCAGGTCTGACGATCTAGCTGGCCATATTATAAACCATGTAATTTTCTTTTCAGACGAAAACGAATGCAAATACCGACCTTGCGATGTATTCGCGCATTGTACCAACACTTTGGGCAGTTTTTCATGTACTTGCTTTCCTGGATATCACGGAGACGGATTCCATTGCGAAGGTATGTAATTTTTTTTTAATAAAAACGTTTATTTCTCCGGATGGTTGCGACATTACATCGCACAAATCGTTTTACAACAAGTCGAACCGATTCGAGGAATGTCCTAATCGCAGCTTCCTTAGAAGTTTTCATTTTAAAAATACGGGATACAAAAAGTTTTTAATTAAGATCATTGTTTCTGTTCATGATGATACTGTATTGAACAGTAAGTAAAAGCAAACTAAATTAGGTTAGCATAATGACTTTACCGTAATTATTAACTATAGTGTCTGTATAAAGGTAAAAATTCTTTAGTCAAGAATTGATGATCTTTCAATTCCGAAGAGTTCTTCAGCACGCGTGAAACCAATCAAAAACGTATCAAGGTAGGCTATGCAGCATTATTGTTCCTCCATTATACCGTACTGTTGTTTCTCTCAAACTATGGCAAAATAAAGGCGAATGAATTTTATGAACTTGAGCTGCAAGCCGACGAGATATGCCTCTTCTGCTGTTTCGTTGTCACGACCTTCATCATGGCCGTCTCTAGGTGCAGTTAGGAAGTATGCGCGTACGCTTCTCCTGCATCAAATATCTTCATTTTGCTATCACACAAATTACAAAAGCTTTTATATAAACTTTTAAGGAACAAAATTGGCCATCAAGAGGTTGCGATTTTGTTATTAAATTACTGCCGCTGTAATAAGTGTGTTTCGAGTGTTCTTCCACACCACATGGCTGTCCGGTACTAATGAGGTCCAAAAGACCGAACAGGTGTCGCAAATTGGTCAAAAAGTAAATTTGCAGTAATCGGTAATTCTATAAGTACCTATACTTTAGTATTATTATTTTCCAACTAATTTTATCAGGGAGACAGATGTTTTGCTTGAAAACATGATAATTTAAATGATATTTCAAACTAGAACTAAAGCTTATTGAACAATGTGGCGTGTGTCTGCGCATCAATTTATTTTCTTCCTGTGCAATAGATACACAGTAAAACAATATTTGTTAATTTTAACCAAACAAAAACCAGATTTTATGTTAATCCAGGTCCACATAACTTTATGTTAAGTTTACAACTAACTATTATCTGTTAACTAATTAAATAAGTAGTTTGTTAAAAATATCGAAAAAAACCGTGGCTCGATTTGTTGTGTTGTTGGGTGTATTTCGAGAGGAAATCCTGGGTTGACTTTTTATCGGTTTTCCAATAAACAGTGTTAATACGAATGAAGAAATAAATTTCATACAGCCCTGTAAATATAAATGGTATCTATTAGATACAATAAATACACATTTTAGTAATGATTAATGTGAAAAGTGTAAACATTTTAATTCAGTAAAAATTGACAATCAAATAAGTTGTCTAAATTCAAACAGCATTTAGCATTATTAAAAGCGTTGATTAAGAATTCTTTAAAGTCCCCACTCAACGGTAAAATACCATTATATTATGTATTATATATAATAATATGTTGCCATGAATTCGTAAGTATATTTTGTAGTTCAAAATGCAGTTGTTGGCGTTTTTTAGAAAACTCAAATATAAAAATGGTTGATTTTAAGGTTATGTTTGTGCAAAAATTATTTTTTACAAATTTCTTAAAAATGTCCAAACTTAAATATAAATTACCTATATTAGGTAAAGTTATCATTAGTTAATTCTGCACCAAAAATGTACTTACCGAATTGGATCCTTTGGCAAAACATGAAAATGCAACGATTTAGTTCTTAAATTTTATTTACAATTAAAAACACAATAATTCTTAACTATATAAGCATTTAAGCGTTGAGTTTCTTAATCAATGATAAACAGAATAATCTATCGAAATCGAGTACTAAATTAGTTTTTTAGTTTTTTCTTTGCAACGTAAAACACAAATAACATGCGCGATTTAGCTGTGAAATTGAACAAAATTTGTCGAATAAGCCTTCCTCTCTTTTGTGAAAAAACTACCTATTTATTTAAAAATGTACAGTCCGTATGCTTTAAATGTACTGTTGACAATTCTTAAATTCACGCAATGCTTTTAAAGTCCACCAGATGGCGCGCGCGTTGCGAAAACCTGATACTTCTTTAGCTTATAACAAACATTTTGTAGATTTAATAACAAAATCCTATGTCAATAATTCAACCATAATTCTTGTAATTTTAACTTTTACTACTCTTATTTCTACCTTCTTAGTAAATGACATTTTATAAATTAATTGTGTTATTTTTGTATCCAAGTTAACGGGAACAGTCCTGCAATATTTTACGGGCTTGTATAAATGACCTGTAAACTACAGGCTTGTAGAAAAGCAATTTATGAAATGAAATGTCACATTTGACACATTAATTGAAAGTTTAAATTTTAGTCTAAGATCCCAAGTAAGGTCGACCTTCACCCATCTGCTAACCAGATGAAAATTATATTTTATCAAATAAAATATGTTTCTGAACATAAACCAATAGGGTTGCCATAAAAAATATGATCAAGGCTAGCTATAATAAATAAAAAATTAAAAAAATAATTTATTTTTTAAATTTCACCGACTTGCTTGCCAAATGAACGAAATTCCAATGGAAAGCATAAAACATACAGAATATGTAACAGCTAGGTTGCCTACCTTTTTCTGGTCCCTAT